GTAAATTGGAATGTAACATAGATAGAATGGATTTGGAGATAAGAAAATATTTAAGAAAGGCAAAATACATTGGTGTAACTCCAAAGACCGTCTATATGTCCCTATAAATGAAATGGGTGAAGGATTAATAAGCCTAAGGGACGAATATGTTATTGAATTAATCAGAACAGTAATGTACTATTGTACAAGAGTGAAATAGGAAATAACATATTAGATAGATGGTATTCCAAGAAATGAATATTGAATAGAATTAAAAAAGCCCTAGGTCATAAAATCGCAGAGATTCAAATAAAAGAAATAATAAATGAAATGAAAATAAAAAAGAAAAAGAGGTAGTATTAAAAATAAAGAAATTAATGACCGACCAATACATCAAAAAATGGAAATCAAACAAGTGGACATTTTAGAAGATGGTTTGAGTCAAAATTTATAGATAAAACTACTACAATAAATGCATGGAAGTCCATCAATATAAAGAAAAATTCATTTCTCAATTAACTAAAATATAAGATGGAGCAATATTTAGTGGGTACAGGAAAGCAAAGATATTAAAAAATGAAAGATTAAAGTACTGCCCACTTTGTAAAGACAAGATATCCACAGTAGAACACATTCTACTATCTTGTATTGGTCATAAAAAATCACAGATGGAGAAACATGACCATATTGGCATTATCATATGGGAGGGGTTAATAAGAAAATACACAGGAAATAAACAATACAAGAAACCCCCATATGAAACAGTGTTCCAATACAACGACATCACTATGATATTGAACAAACAAATAATGCCAAAAAGTGATGGACAATATCATAAAATAACAGATATATATGTAATAAATAAAAAGAATAAAACTGGTCTAATAATTGATATGACTATTGTGGCAGATCATAATATTAATGGAGCCTATTGGAAGAAAAGAAATATGTATAAGGAATTGAAAAATAGGCTAATGAAAATAGAGAAATTAAAGGATGTCAAAATAATTCCAGTAGTAATTTCGATTAATGGGCTAATAAATGCGGAAAGTATTAAATTAATTAAACAATTAAAAATCGAAATTGACATCACTAAAGAAATCAAAAACCTTGTAATTAAAAACATGATGGACGTCATGGAACACTGTTTCGACCACAACCAAACATATGTAGTGGAACTACATGACGAAGACTCAGGGATGGGATTAGTCTCCGCTGAGGCAGGAACAATAGACACAAGTTCTATTAATACTTAATTAACTACTTTTTATTAATTATAATGATTCAGTCTAATTCAAATTGGCAGGTCAGAGATACCAATAGAACCATAAAATATATCCAAGATTCTAATCCTCTAGTTATATTGTGATTGTGGTGTTGTATTTGGTTAGAAAACACTACTCAATCTGCAAGGGTATCAGTGATTACTGTTTACAATGATGTGATATCATTAACAACAAAAGAATGGGTATTTATAAAGAGGGTATTATTACTTGTTAAGATACAAATACATTTGATAATATAGGACTATCAAAGAAAAAGTATCTGGTTTTTATGGTTGATGCCATAAAGAATATTATCCCATAGCAATACAGTAGTAATTATATATTCTTTTTAAAATAAGAAAGTAAAGAAGAAGAAGTTTAATACACATTAAAATTAGACAAGAACCTAAATGAGGATATTTAAATCTGATATATCTGAAATACTCTATTATACAATAAAGAAAGTAAATTCTCAGTTTTCAACAGTTAAAAACTCAGATTAAGCTAATAAATGTTGGACAAGTAATTTTAAAGCAAAGAGTAGGACTATTAACCTATCCTGAGCAAGGAACAATAGAAAATATTCCTATTAATATTTAATCAACCATTTTTTATTTTCTATTTTTTTATGTTGACTTGAGAGAAATGATTTTTCATTTAGAAATGATTTTTCATATAATTAAAATAAATAGTTTTATAATACTATTATTATATTATTTTTTTTTTTAATTTCAATAAAAGTACAATAAAAAATGTCTTGGTTTTAGCAATTTAAATAAATTATTTTTTGCACCAACAATCCCAAATTTTTAGGGACATTAAGATATTTTTTTGATGATGTGGTAATGATCTGTTTTTGCGGTGTATTTTGAAGTTCTTTTCCATCTCTTTTTAATTAATATTTAAGGAACTCTAATTTTTTATTGGTTCAATATGTCTCACGACGAGCAAAGACGTTACAATGAACGAGCCGCTCCATTTAACTTCTTGATACATTTTAAATTAAGGTCAGTTATCATGTTAGTAATAGCATTTTTTTTGGCTTGTTTTTTAGTAGTGCTTTCTGAGACTACTGCTAATGAAACTCACAACAAAGACAAGTTATGTACTATATTCAGAAATGAAATACCGTGTATTATTGTAGACGCGGTGAAAAGATTAATAAATCAAATATTTAAGCAAATCATTAAAAAGATACTAGAGATGTTATGGGGATAAAAATTCCAACAAAACATACCCATTCTTTAATTTATATTTTTTTTCTTTTATTTCTTTTTAAGAACAATGTACAAATGAATAAATTCACTACTACCAATTGTTTCATTCGTTGAAAACTTGTTATAACTATTACCATATTTCATTTAAAATTTTCATACCATTTTAAATATAAGCCAATATCAAATACTATTTAATAACAATATCTATAATGTTACATCGCTTTTATTTCATAAAATAATTAAAAAATATGTGAAAGTATATACTGAAAGAGTTATAATAACTTATTGAAAAATCTAATTAGAAGTTAAAACAATAATAACAGCAAAATTCCTGTATAAACTTTCTTGTTTCGATAAATATATATACAAGCTTATTATTCTTTGTTAGAATAAGTACTTTGATAAAAGATTATCATTTGTTTTCAAATAATGCATAGTAAAAGTATTTTTATACTGAAACTTTCTTTTCTTTTACTATTAATTAAACATTAATCTTCTCTAGAAAAAGTATAATAAAGAAGTGAAATAACTGTTAAATGTTACCAAGAAATATTTAAATTTCATCACCAATCTATATTGACCTTTTCATTATTTTATTTCAACAAATGTACATGTTCTCAAAAATGATAGATATAGAAGTTATGTTAAGTAAAAATTAAGTATATTGCATATATGGCATAAGTTTAACTTCTTTTAACAATGAATTATGAGTTTTAAAATATTATTTTAAACAAAGAATCAATAAAGAAACATTATTCTAATGATCTTTATAAATTTATAAAGATAAAATAAGAAAATTAAGTTATTTAAAAAGTTATAAAATATAATAATGTTTAAGGAATCATTATTTTTATAAGTATCATTGAATAAGTCATAACTCAAAAAATAACATTACAATGATGAATACCATCATAACATTATCACAACACTAGAAATGTTTTAATATAACAATATCATTTCATTGTGTTTCAATAACCATTTGAATCTAAATAATACGACATAATTATATGTTAAGAGTATATTCAAATCATAAAGAAAAGAAAGGAATCAATTATGAATTACCTGTATTTAGGTTTTCATCATGTTGAGAAGTGAGCAAAACCAGTTTCTTCAACATGCTTTATTTCGTCTGAAATAAAGTTTTTTTCAAAGACCCTCGACTTAAATGGTTCCTCATTTAAGTTGCTGCCTGATTCATACCTTGAATTAAATGAGTATTAAAACTCTTCATTGTTTATGTGTTATTATTAGAAGAATATATCCATAACCACTATGAGACTATGGCCTATCTTCTTTATCATCAACACCAATTAAAGAACCCTTTTTCTTGATAACACACCATGTACTCAACCCAAATCTATCGTTGATAAATATGTTACGTCCTAATTAATAATAATACTACCACCATAATAATTAAATAATCTCATATCAAAATAAATAATAATCCTTATAAATGATAATCCTTATAAATAATAGTCCTTATTGATAATGCCTCCATAACAATCAGTCATAATAAAAAAAATAACCATCTAGTATTGGGTGGTTCACTACCTCACCAAGGCACGTCATAACCAGTCCATAACTGGGGGAATCGAAGGATGGAAATATTTTAGGGAACTGTGTGGTGTCTCTGACGTGCTACCTTCGAACCTGTATATTCAAATCATATATAAAAAAAACATGTAATAAGAAAAAAAAGAATATGGTATAGAGAAATGATGAAAAATATAAATAAAACAATAATACAGAATATCAGAAATAAATATAACACGAAATAAATAAATATTAACAATGAAAAGATTAGAGCTTATTATAATATATAATATATATAAAAATAATTCAAAGGAATCGATGAAAATGAAAAATAATATATTATTAAAAATATTTTATTTATTTTAAATTTAAATTATTCTTATTACAATTTTCAATTTATTTTGTACTGTTAAAGTATCTGTTCTTTTTATATTTTAGTATCACCTTTATACCTGTTAGCACTATTGTTTATCATTGTATTTTCATTTTAATATCTACATAATTTTATAATTTAAATTTTAAATTAATTATTAACTTTGATAACAGTCGTTTTGTATTTGTCATTTAATATTTTATTCTTTATAGTATTTTCATCATTTTATTGTTTGTTGATTTATAATTTATTGTTTAATTATTTATTGAGTATGAAAATATCCTATTTTTATACTTTATGTTAATTCATTTTTATTCCTTTTTCTTTGTTTTTTATCATTTTTTTTCTTCACATTATTTTATATTTGTATTCTTTCCTTAATCTTTTTATTATTTATTTGTTGTAATTTTTTTCTAATCTATTATTTCCTATTCATTTTGATTCAGAACTAGATTTAAATGAACCAAACAAATTATTCATTTTATGTGTATAAGGTAAGTTAATGAAACTTATCAATTAGCTATTAGTACGGTCAGACAATAAATTTTTAGCTTACATTAGGATAAGAGAAGTTATGAATAAAGTATACCAAACAAACCAAAGTGAATGAAGTAAATAACAACTTTAATAAAACTAGTCTTGTCTCAAAATAGGCTGTATTTCCCCATAGTGCATAGTCTGGATAGGAGTTTTGTTTAATAAAAGAATTGGATCTTCCCTGCCTATCATTAAATCGTCGATCATACTCTCAAATTCATAGTAATCATTTCCTCTCATGGCAATAAAAATTAGTTTAATCATTTCTCGGTCTTTCATCTGAACAGCATCTTCTAGTGGGATATGACCAAATGAATTACGTTGAGTAGTTCTAATTCCATTGATAAGAAGGACTCGTGCAACATTTAATGAGTGATAAGAACAGCAAACGTGAAGGGCATTGTCATTGTTAAAATTAACAGAATTGATGTCAATGTTATGTTTGAGAATTTCTCTACAAATAAGAGCCCTTCCATAACGGGCACAGTAATGTAACAAACTCTCTCCATTTAAATCTGGAGTTGCATAATTAAAGTTTTGTAATTTCATAATTTCAAAGGCAATGTCATTAAATCCTAATTGAATTGCAAGCATCAAAATATTTTCGCCTTTGTAATTAACATGATTTGGAGTTAAACCAAGATTTACTAGAAAAGAAATCATGCCAATTTGCCTAGCCATTACAGCAATATGAAGTAAAGTATTTCCATGTTTATCTTTGTTAACTAAATCATTACCCTTATCCAATAAATCTAATACTAAGGAGGCATTTCCTTCAAATACTGCTCTTCTCATTTTTTCATCTTCAGTTTCAAATAATACATTATACATTTTTTCTACATACTTTAACCAGGAATATTTTCCAGGAGGTGTAGTATTATCAGTAGGTTGGTCATCTTTAATAACAACAGTTTCCTTTTTAAACATATGAATAACAATAATATATAAGTATTTCACCATTAAATATAAATTGTCTATTCATGTTGATAAAATCATCTAATCAAAAAAAAAGGAAATATAAAGAAACACTTCAAAAGGATAATTTAATTCTTCTTGTTAATTGGCATTCCAATTGATTCAAGCATTTTAAGAGTAACTGGATCAGCAGTAATCTTTTCAATATTAACTTCAGATTTTTCTGGGACATAGTTATCTCTTCTTTCTCTTTCTTCTTCTTGAAGTTTGAAAGAGATTCCCCTAACTGGACCCTTTTGAATTCTTCTCATTAAGTGAGTGATAAAACCAGCAATTTTGTTTCTAAGTCTCTTAGTCTCAACAACAGCAACTTCATCAACAACACGTTTGTTGGTGTGGAAATCGAGAGTTAAGAGTGGGTAATACTTTTCAATAATATTTCTTGCAGCTCTTTTAACTGTTTTGGTTCTGACTCCTCCCATGTTTCACTCACTTATTCAAGGGTTAGTTCTTTCATTTCTAAGTTCTTTTCCTTTTATTTTGTTATTTAAATAATTATTTTTACTATTCAGATTAATATTTTTTATTTATGATGTTCATAACCCCATTTTTTAGATAATATCAATTCTAATATATTTTAGTTTTTTATTAATTTAAAATAGTAAAAATTAATCAAAAATAAACTTTTAAAAAATTATCTTAACTAAAGAGACAAATTAAGTATTTATCAACATAATGAATTAGTCATCGTCATCACTTGATGCAGAAGATCTACTCTCACTTTTATTAACTTCTTCTTTTTTTCCATTAGATGATTTTTCAGAAACAGAAGAAGAACTTGAAGAAGCAGAATCTTTACTGTTATTGTTATTATTTTCGTCTGAATGTTTTGAAACTTCGTTTTGAACTTCTGATTTAGGTTCAACAATTATTTGAGGAACATTGAGATCTTCTTTTTTAGATAATTCTCCTGTGACATAATTAATATCAATATTCCAAGACGCTATTTCTTGTAAAATTTCTGTGGCAGTAGGACGTTTATCAGCTTCTTGATCCCAACATTTAGTAATTAAATTCCAATAATTATCAGGCATATTGTCTGGTCTTTCAAGTCTATGACCTTCAATAACAAATTGAGGGATCATCCATGGTTGATTAAATCTTTCATCGTTTTCATAAGCTTGTTTCTCATTAAAAGTTTCATATAATACTATTCCATATGCATAAATATCTACTGGGTATGAATAATTAGAAGTACCTTGAAGTGATTCTGGTGACATATAAGTTGGTGTTCCAATACCTGTAGATAATTCTTTATTAGCAAGAGACCTTTCTGAAACATTTCTACAAGTACCAAAATCAGTTAATTTACCACAAACAGATGAGTGTGGATTTAATGAATAAACTAAAACATTTTCTCCTTTAATATCTCTATGAATAATTTGATTTTGATGAAGGAACTGTAATGCAACTGCAAGGTCATCCATAATTTTAATCTTTAAATCATATGAAACTTCTCTTTTTCCCCACATTTTACTAAGTGACCCAAATTCTGCAAATTCTGTTACAATAGCAATTTCTCCTTCTGTATATACTGCCCCAATTAAACTAACAATTGTTTGATGTCTTAATTGAGATAACATACCAACTTCATGATTAAATTCTTTTGTTTGTTCTTCAGTAAGATTTCTTGCTTTCATCTTTTTAATAGCAACATCTTGTCCTCTATAAGTTCCTCTGAATACAAGACCAAAAGCACCTTCACCTATTGGAGGCATAACAGGTTTAAGTTCTGTATGATCTAATTTAGTTGATAAATCAGACTCAATAATAATTTTTAATTTCGCTGTTTCTTTATTATTGTCATCAACATCCATAGCAACAATTCCAATATCTTCATTAACAATAGCAGTACAAAGCATTTTAATTTTAAATGTAACTTCAATACCGAATCCTGCTTTTAATGTTTGTCTTACAGGATTAACTTCAAGTGAATATCTATGAGATGGATTTGTAAGAATTTCAAAATAGTATGACTTATTTGATGTATTCATGATTTTTAGTTTTTGTTCATACTCTGTATCAACAATAGCTTTTGTTGATGGAAGACCAAAATCAAGTTCCCATTTCTCAGTTTTTAATGGGAAATTTTCATTATCAGCTGATAATAATGCAAGTTCTACATCTGATGATACCCTGAATGGTCTAATCTCTGTTTCACGTTGTTTCTCAGCAGCTCTACGTCTTCTCCACAAGAAGAAAATAATAATGAGAATAATTGCAATCAGAATTAAGCATGCACCAATGCATAATGGAAGAATTAAAGCAAGATTAACTTTGGTACATTCAAGTCTATCTCTTGAAGGAGAATATCCATCTTCACAATACTCACATCCAGTTCCTTTACAAACCCTACAATGTTCAATATTAGAACATTCAAGACAAGTAACATTGTCTTCAGTAGAAAGGTATTGTGTTTCATTCTTACATCCAGTACAAATAATTCCATCTCCAGTAATGTCATCTATTTGTTCTTTACATTCGGTACATCTACCAGGACACTTAAGACAATAACCATCATGTGTATAATATCCTGTATTACATATAGAACAACCTGAAGTTGTAATAAGACTAGAACATTGATCAAGATTGTATTGGCTTTTTGTTTCATTAACAACAAAACATTTTCCTTTTGCTTCATCAACTGCATCTGTCAATGATTTAGGTCTCCAATACACACTATTTGAACTATTATCAATTTTAGAGTTACACGTTTGACAATAAGTACTGGACGTACATGACCCACATGACACATCACATTTAGTACAAGTGACATCACTTAAAAAGTATCCAGATGCACATTCCACACAATACCCCATTTCAGTTCGAATGCACTCAGGTGGTTTTTCAACACAATTATAAATATTTTGTGTGTTTCCAGTTAATTCTTTATATAATGAAGTAGCTTCAATACTAATATTAAGTGCATATCCAGGATTACAAGCAGAACACCACGTTGAATTGTATTCACAAATTTTACATTTAACATCACACAATTCACATTCTTTTTCATATTCTAAGATGTTTGTTTGGTCATTCTTTGTCACAGGTAGGAAATAGCCAAATGTTTGTGGGGAAGTTGTATCATCACATCTTGATTGGTCGATGTCTTCTTTAAGACTATAACAAAGTTCTGTATTGGTTTGATCGTAATAACACTCTAAACATCCATATTGATCAGTGACTTTACAATTAGATTTTTTTAAAGTACACTGACCTTCTTCCCCATTAAAGTAATAATTAGGAGCACATCTAAAACAATAGTTTTCATTTAAACAAGAAGAACAGTTTTTAGGACAACCAACACATTGGGATCCCTCTGAAAGATAAAACCCTTCATTACATTCTAAACACCCTTGTATTCCATTTGATCTAGCACAATTATCAATAGAAGGTACACACTTTCCTTCTAATAACTTCATTGGTGAAGCACATTCAACACAGTTAGTTGAATTAATACATCTTAGACATTGTTCCGGACATGGAGAACATTTTCCATTATCAAGATAAAATTCTGATGCACACAATTCACAATGATCTCCAAATACATGACCAGAAACACAATGTTCAATAGAAGAACATTCAGAAAGTGGATCTGTTGGATCTTTTAATGCAAAACCATTACTACACATAAAACAATTTTGAGAATTAGAACATCTTTGGCAATTAGTTTTACATGGAAGACAACTCAATTTTTCTGTATCAAAATATTGGTTAATACTACACCTTCCACAAACTGCATTATTTTCTTCTTTGGAACAATCAACACAATTTCCTCCATTGTTGACAAGGGTGTATCCTGCTTCACATTGGAAACACTCTTGAGAATTACAATACTTACAATTATCTGTACATGGTTTACAATCTTGTTTTTGAAGATAATACCCAGGTTTACACATTGTACAGAAAAGATTATCCCAGACATCACAATTATTTATATTTTTTCTTTCAACACACTGATATGAACTGTCTAAATAATAATTATCTTCACAACTAATACATTTGTCTGCAGCAAAACAAGTTTTACAATGTTTGCTACTATCGCAATTTTTACACTCTCCAGATGTATCAAGGTATTGTCCGTCAGAACATTCAATAGCATTAGAAGATATGAGGATAGTAAATAAAAGAAACATAAAGTAAATTTAGATCTTTTCTCTTTTTCAGTACTGTAAAGGGTTTTTTCTCTTTAGATTACTAACTTCTTTTCAAGAAGGCACTCATTTCTATTAGCTCCTATGAGAAATATATTATTATTATAGGTTAATTTATTATACTTTATTAATTCTAATAGATTTATTTTGAAGAATCTTAAAAATGAAATTAAAATGAATATATTCTAAGTTTTTTGTTTTTTCTTTTCTGATTTTGATATATAACTAACAAGAAAAAAAAAACATTTCTATTCCTAAAATAATTGTTTTTTATTTGAAAAAAAAAATATTGTAATTTTATAGTATATTTACTATTAACAAAAAATAAAAAGAATAAAAAACTTTTTTTAGAAAAATGAATGGATTAACGAGAGATGAGATTGAAGAACGAGCAAAACGAAGTTTTAGTTGTGGAGGAAATACTTTCAATGATATTTATAGTTGTCGAGGAGGATATCATGAGTTTAACGAAACTATTGATGAGTTAATAAAACTTGATTCAATAGAAATTAGTAAATTACATACAACCAAAGAAGTTCTTGTGTTGTTGATTAAAAATGCATTACTAAAAACTGAGTTAATTGGAGGGGTTGATATTAGTGAAAAAGAAGAAAAAAGTGATGAACAAATAATTTCATTTAAAGAATATAAGTTAATATTTGATGGAAAGGAATGGATTAATCAGGAACTTGTTAAGTATTGTCAACCTCAAAAACTGATTATTCGAAGAAAAGAAGAAAAAGGATATCAATATTCATTATTTTATAATCCATCTTTAATTGAATCTCCACTAAATACTAGATGGAATTGTGAATATAAAATAATTAATGAAACTACTGGATTGTCAATGACTATAGGAGGAAATGCTTCTGTTGGAGTTATCCAATTCATAGAGAAGTTTGGTTATTTTGAAGGGAAAAAAGGAGAAAACAAATACAGAATTGAACCATCTTTTGTTCTTGCTATATTATGTGGTATTATATCACAACAAACTATTGAAACATATAATGAGTATATTAATATTAAATCATCATTGTTAAAACAAACAATTTCAACATTATACTCTCGATTAAAATTAACTCAAGACTTTAGTGAATCTAACTGGATTCATAAACAAATCACAAAAAGTGAATTACTGTTAAAACAAAATGAGGAAAAATGGGATAAATGCAAAAACCAATTAAAAAAACATTTAATTTATGGCTATTAATAATTTTGGGATATATAAAACAAATCAATTGAATAACGAAATATGTTAAATTATTTTTTCATTGGTTTACCACAATATGGGCAGAAATTCATTTTATTATCAACTAATTGACCACACTCACAAACAGTAGTTTGAGCAACATTTTTATTTGTATTTTGTTCTGCAACCTTTTGTAAAAATTTATTTTCTTCATCAATAATTCTTTGTCTTTCAGCTTCATCATCAACACCAGCAGTCATTCTTGAAGGTTCACCTGATTCTTTATCAGCAACACGATAATAAGCAGGGACAACATCAGCTTTTTTATAATATTCAGCTTGTTTTGTGTGTTTATATTCAATTTGTTGTTGTTTTCTATATGTTTGGAAACAAACATTATGGAATATTTTCCCATCACTATTGACTTTCTCAGCTGGATAGACTTCTTTACCACATAAGAAACACTTAGGCATTTTTTAATTTACTTATTCAATGGTTTTGAAGTTCTTTAATATTTAAGGGGTAAATTTTTCTACCAATAATATCACATCTTAGCTTTTTTCCTTGTTAAACTGATAATTTATAATTCTTTTTCTATTTATCATTGTTTCCTTTAAAAAAATATATAAATAGTAAAAAGTTGAAAAATCTAATAAAAATAGTTTTTTCTTCATTTTTGAAGTTCTTCTGTATGTACAAGGATTTTGTTTATATCGTTTAAAAATTGATTTTCATTTCTGTATGACTTTTAAATTTTGGGCATCTAAAGGTTAGACTGATGTATGAAGTGAACCGAGTATAGAACTTTAAATCTAAATTAACTTAAAAAAAAATCTAAGATTGTTTTCTGTTGTCCCTTCAACTCAATAACTTTTTTATTTATCTTCACTAAGATCTCTAGAAGACTTGTCATATGAACTTGCTGAATGCTTTCTGTGTTTATGCCCTTTTCTTCTTCTATAACGGTCTTCATAGTCTGATGTATCAGATGAATTACTAAGTGATCTTCGATAATGTTTTCTTTTTGAATGTCTAGAATGTGATCTATGATGTCTTCTTTTTCTTTTACTACTTTGTTCAGAATCTTCACTTGAATCATCTGAGTAAGAATATGTTCTATGTTTACGTTTATTTTTTACCTCTTTTTGTTTCACCGAAGGTTGTTCATTTTCTGTTTTTTTGTTTTCATTATTTAATTGGTCTATACTAATACTTTTTATAACAGATGATTGCTTTGGTGACTCACTCTCGTTTGTTTTATTTTCTGTTATTATCCGTTCTTGTTTTATAGGTGTTTCATTAAATTTAAAGTATTCGTCAAGTAATACTTGAGAATTTTTATCTGGTTGATTTATAGAAACAAAAAATAATGAGTTAGCAATTTGAATAATACTATTAGAATGTAATTCAAACTGTGCATATTGTGGGACAACACAATGGTTTACAATAACATCATTTCTATTGCTAAGATTAAAAATAAACCCTTTGTCATCATTTTTGTTGTTCATCACAAAATCACAATGGTGTGGAAGGGTATTTCCAATAATAACATCAGTGAACTCAGAACCAAATGACGTTGAGAGTCTCTTTACATTAAAACTTCTTGAAGTTAATTTACCATCTTTGATTTTAGTAAATAATATAGCAGTCATGAAAAAGTTATTTAATGATAGATCTTGTAATTCGATATATTGAGGGAAAAATTTTAAAATAACACAAAATTAAAAATTCTTCATTTTATTAACAACAACCAAATAAACATAACTCATTTTAATTTATTAAATTTCTTTTCAATAACTATTTTTGTTTCATTTTGGATTACTTCAAAAAAAAAAAACAAAAAAAGAGATAATTCTATTCTTAATATAGCAAGATATATTTATTGAAATAAATAGATTATGAGATATTTTTTATGAAATACCAAAACAAAATAATAACATAAATTAATAACAATACATGAATTAATTTTTGTTATCAAAACCTGAAGAAATTAAGATTCATTTTAACCTTTTTTCATTTTTTGCAAATAGATTGAAAAATGAAAAGAATTTAGAAATTTTTTTTTCTTTCATATCAATAAAATGGGAATTTGATTCAATTGAAGGGGTTAAAGTAGAGTAAAGAAGAGGATTAGTTGGGTTTTGATGTGAGAGGAAATTTGTTCTTCTTGGAACAGTTAGCATCATAAAAAGTGTTTTTAAATTAAAAGAGGTTTTTGCTGAAGTTTCTAAGATAGTACACTCACAAATTCCATTTAAACTTAATTGGAGTTTAGTTAAATCTTTAGTAGATACTTTTCTATTAATTTCTTGATCAATTTTATTACCCACAATAATAAATTTTGGCAATTCTTTTTTATTATTTAAATGAATAATATTAATACATTCAAGGATATCACTATGAGCCTTTTCAAAATTTTCTCTATCAGTTACTGATAAAACATAAATTATAAATTCTGCTTTTGTTAATTGAAAATCTCTTAATATTTTAAATTCTCTATTACCTCCATTCTCTATTATTTTAATTTCAGCACTATAACCTTCTCTTTGGATTGTACAATTATAGATATCTTCAATAGTTTCTTCATATAAACCAACTTCTTTATTATGAAGATACTTTTCAATAATAGAAGTCTTTCCACATCTAGAGGGACCTACAAAACAAGCACATACAGGTTTCATCATTTATCTATTTGTTTAATGGAGTTTAAACATTTAAATAGTTCATATTCTGATACTCTCAAACAAAGACTTTCTCCAGTTTCCATTTTTTTTTGTTGGAATCACATTTATTCTATACTATTTATATTTTTAGCATAGTCAACCTTTAAAGTCATTTTTGTACTATCTTTCTTTAACGCTCTTTCATTTCTAATTCAAAGGAATTTGATTTGCTTTTTAGTTCTTGGTTAATAATGTAAAAAAAGGATTTTTTAACCAATAAATAAATTAAGTAATACCTAACAACTCCAAGTTAGTTTTACATCGAAGATTTATAGAAAATGGGATTTATAAAATAACAGTCAAATAATATTCGTCATATTCTATAAAAAGAATGAAACAGAAGAAAGAAATCATTGTAAAAAAATTTAATAATTTGTTTAACTTAATACATAAATTCCTTCATATGATTCTTTAATTAAAAAAAATTATTTTTTTGTGTTAATAAATCAAATAACACTTTAAGAAAGAATAAAAATATCTTCTCAAGATATTAATGAGTCAGATATGAGTATTTTAATGAACAATGTTCTTATTTTTTTTTTACATAAAATATTATATATAATTCATAAATCATGAAGATATAGATATTTATGATTTATTGTAAATAAAATAGAAGTTAAAAATTTAATTCTTTAAGAAAGATTTACAAAAATTTAATTTTCTCTTATTGTTTTTACTTAAATATACAATATTAGAAAAAAATCCATAAAAGAAAACTCCATAAATAACAAACAATATTGATTAACACATAAACATTTATGGTTGAATAACTTTCTTTAAAAAAAGTAAAAGTATTTAAAAGATAAAGTTTGGGTATTTTATTCTTGTTGTATTCAAATAACTCCATTGAATAATTTTCTTAAACAACTTATTGATATTTTTTAGACCAACGTTTAACTATTATTCTTTTTATTTCTACTTTTATCTGTTTATTATCTAATTATTATAAAAATTGAAAAATAACCCTTGTTCTTGTGTTGGTCTTTTAAGGTACACTGTTGCTGGTGGAAAAGATGTGATTAGACTACTAAACTTATTAACTAATTCTCCATTAAATTTAAAAAGTCTATTATATCTTCTTAATACTTGTTTTCTTTTAACTCCATTTATAAACAACTCAATTTGATAATAATCTACATTTTCTATTTGAGTGAATTGAGTAACTTTAATATCAAAACCAAGAACAGAATTCATGATAATACTAATATTTATAAAATACTTTTCAAAGATCTTAAAATTAAAAAGTAATAAAAAAAAAAAGTTAAATTTTGAATTAATTTTGAGGGACATTAGCAAGGACTTGAGCAATGAATTTAAGTTCATTGTGTCTTGCTTTCTTTAATTCTGGAACATCAGTCTCTTTTTCTGAATAAAGGTCAGAACAATGAGATGTTCTGTCGATTAATTGTACTAAATTACCTTCTTGATGGTCAGATTCAGTAACTCCAAGAGCGTGCCAAGGATCAGTGTTACCGTTAGTAAAAGCAACATTAGTTACACATGGTTTCTTTCCTCCATATCTAACATTGATATGATCAACTGCATTATATAAAGTATCTTTATCAATACCATAAATATCTTTACACATATCAATACTTCCTTGAAGTTGATTTAATTTACCCCATTTGACTGATGACTGTTCACTAACAGCTTGATAATATCCATAAGCAATACATGTTTGGAAAAACCATGATCTACCAGCAGCACCTTCATTTCCTTCAGCATAAGTAGAAGTACTTTGTAATGTTTTATAACTTTCTTCTTGAGAAGATGAAGTACATTCTTTATCACCCCATTCTGGATTGTATTTCTCTTTAATAAATAATGGGTATTTATTAACAACATCTTCATTAATTTCAGTACAAATTGAATCAGTACTTTCATATGAAGATTTCCAATTTGAAGAATTATACTGAACATAACCAGAAAGAGCTGTTCCAATAGATTCTGCAAATGTTTGAATATCTTTTTCACCAAATTCAGTACAAGTATTGAAAATCTTTCCTAATTCTTTTCTTCCTTCTTCAGTAGTAGTCATTTCATCCCATTTTTCAAATGCAAATGATAATAAATCTGCAGTGTTTTTAGGAAGTGCGTTTTGTACAACTTCAAGATATTGATAAAAATCAACTACAGCTTCTACTGGAGCAGATGATGCCCATGCCCCTTCTACAACATTAGGATATTTTTGTCTCATCCAAGCAGCTAAATTACCACTATATGATCCACCAAGAACAATAACTGGATGTCCAACTAAATTATTTTCTTCTTGAACATGTGAAATAACTTCAACATAATCCATTAATGCTTGTTCTGCAGTACAATAAATTAATTTATCCATTTCAAGTGATGGAGTTGAAGCACCATAAAAACGATGTTCAACAGATAACATTAATCCTTTGTGTTTTTTAGCCAAATCAGTTACAACAAAATAGTTTTGTAAACCAGTTGCATCTTCAGGTCCTTCACCTCCTAATAAAACAAAGAGTGGTGCATTTGGACTATTATTATCCAAATAATCAGTACTAATGAAGTATTGAATATCAAAATCAATTTGATTATTAACATTGAAATGGTCCAATGGGACAGTATAAGTCAATGTTTTAACAGTTGGTAAATCAGACTGTAAACGATGAAAATCCCTTTTGTAGAATTTTTTTTGGTGAAGAGTTAATGAGGCATAAGCAGAAAGAAATAATAATACAAAAAGGAACATTTCCAATGAATGAAAGATAAGTTATTTTCAGATAATAAACAAAAAATATTAAAAACAGAAATTAAAAAGGTTATTAATAAATAAAATAAACAATTAATTAGAATCTTTCAAGAAAAACTTAGTAAAGCAACTACATGAACGAGAAGAATGATCATCTCCAATAAGTGGAGAATATGAAAAAGAGAGTTCAGGTGAAACAACAACAGTAGAATGAACATCAGGAGATTTTCTTGGAGGAGAAATACAAGAAGTTGTTTCAGAAAAATTATTTCCTTTTCTAAGTTTAGGAGGATATAACAATGGAAAATTATCACTATAAATTAATGGAGTTGGACAACACCCATTCCTAACTCTATGAGTTAATGCCCCAGAACTTGAGTTTGAACTTTTTTCTTTTAAAACACTTTGTTCAACATTTTCTTTTACTTCTATATCACTATAACTTCTTGAACGAACTGATTTACGTTGAACTAAAGAATTTGGATATAATGATTTTAAAATTGATGGACAATAAATATTAATAAGACCTAAATCTAAATTTATTGGTTCAACTCTAAAAGCACCAATTGATGCATGATCTAATTTTCCAGTTAAATTTATTGGACGCATTTTATTTTTATTTTCTGTATGAAATTGCCGAACTAAATCTGTTGTTTGAATTAAATACTTAGAAATATTTTCAATAAAATCAGACATATTTGCTGATGAAATAATACGAGATGATATGATAGAGTCTAATGATATTAATGTTTTTGATGACTGAAAATTATCACAAAAACCATCGGAAGTTAATAATATTATATCATCTGAATAAACATTTACTATTTTTAACATTGAAGATTTTAAATCAGGGTGATTCCCATCTGCAGAACCAATTCTTCCTCCGCTATCTTTTGTTGATAATAAACACCTACACCATTTAGGATTTAAAGCTACACAATTTTGATGTTTATCATTATATATAAAACATTGAGAATCTCCAATAGAAAGAACAATTAACTGTTGATTTAAATCTTTTGTAGAAAACAAACAAGCAATGAGTATAGTTGTTGAACCAATTCCTTTTATTTTAGTTGACTTCTTTAAAATATCAATATGAGCGTTATAGGCACTATCAACTAACATACTTGCAATGTCTTTTGATGATTGACATGTTTCAATCTCATCAACAATAGTTTCCATTATTGAACGAACTGCTATTAAAGATGCTTGGTGAGGTTGAATACCCCAACCACATCCATCTGCTATTATCATAACAGTTGATTTTGAAAAACGAATTAAACCAATACGGTCGCAATTTGGTTCTCCTTGTTTGATTCCATCAATGATAGGATAAGTACTAAATGAAGTCATACCAAATGATTGGTCATTTCCTAAAATAGAAAGAGGGTCATCACAAATATGAAAACAATAACCATTCTTTTTAATTGGTTCAATTATGTTTGTTGGAATAGACTTAATAAATGGTTTAAATGTTTTAATGAATTGTACTTTCAATGAAATTTCCATTTTATGATTAAATAGTTTTGAGTGTTACAAAGATAAAAAGAGTTGTTTCAAAATCATTATTTTTAAAAATAGTTCTTCAAATCATAAAATGATCTATTTATATCAAATAATAATAACAAAAAATTGAACAGTCACAATGAATTTTTTTTTTCCTAAAATTAACAAACAAAACTATTTCTTAATATATTCTAGATTATCTTTACTGTCCTTCTTGATTTTCTATTATCCCTTCTTCCATTGTTTCCTTTGTAAGTTCTTCAAAAAATTTATTTAATTTTTCAAAATATTCAGGAAAACTTGGTAAATTCATATGAAATCCTTTTGCAAATTTTTCCATTCTTACTTTTTTCCCTGTTTCATGGGCAACATCATAAAGATGTTGCATCATTGATGGTGGAACTATTTCATCTTGACCACTACTACAAAATAAAATCCTTTTTCCTTTTTGTACTTGTTTAATTTCATTTAAATTATCCCATTTATCTTTAATTAACCAAGGAAAGAAACTAATAGCTGGCATTAATATTTTACCAACGTCAAGAAGTGTTGTAAATCCATTCTCAATAATTAATCCTTTACAATTTTTTTTATTATACAATTTTAATGCCATTGATGCTCCAATCGATCTTCCAATAACAACAATATTATTCATATCAACACCAAGTGACTCTAATGACTCAAAATATTTTTCAACATCATTAGCCATTGTTACCTCTTCAGGAATTCCAGTCGATTTATCAAACCCTCGATATACTGCAATAACAAAATTCACATCACATAATTCATAATATTTTTTAGCCATTTCTATTCTATCTAAAACAGTCCCAGCATTACTTTGAAATAATAATAACGTTATGTGTTTTGATGGCTCTTCTTTTAAACATGCATATAAATAAATAGTGTTGTTATCGTTTGTAAAAATTGAAACTTCTTTTAATTCAAATGGGAGTTGGAAAGTTTGTGTTATTTCTTCAACACTTGGCAATGAATGACGAGTAGGATAGAAGACTATTTCGTATTGATGAGTAAATAAATATATTCCACTTAATACCATTATTAGAGCAGTGGCTCCTGCGATAATCTCCCAAATCATTAAAAATTATAAGATTATTAAAAATATCATTTATTGATATATAAAACAAAAACTAAATTAAAATATGATTTTTGTTAAATTCATCAATCTCTTGTGAAATATCAACATTTGGCTGTGCCCAATAAGGAAGTTTTGTTTCAAAGATTTCATCATCAACAATATATCTCCATGCATGAAGATAAATCCCATATTGAATTGGATCTCCTTTAAGATGTTCACATTCAATACATCCCTCTTCTATTTTCCATTGAATTGTTCCTCCATACTGTGTCTCAAATATTCCTTCATCATCACATTTTGATTCATCAAATTGAGCAGCGTATATTGGATCATTTACAATAGGATGATGAATTGATTGTAAATGTACTCGGAGTTGATGAGTTCTTCCACTTCCAAGTAATGCAACAGCAACAGTTGTATTTGTTTTTTCATCATAAAACAATGGATTGAATTCACTACAACATTCTTTTCCATCTTCTTCAATTTTATTAACAGAAACATGGATTTTTTTATCATCAATTCTTTTTCTTCCAATTTTACTAGTTACAACTGTTTTTTCTAACTTTCCTCTCACTCTACAAATATATTCTTTTTTTTTAATAACCATATGGTTTTGAAATTCTCGAGCTGCTTGAATAGTCTTAGCTAATAATAAAATACCAGATGTCATTCTATCTAGTCTATGAACTGGTCTTAAATTAGGATATCCTTCATGTGATAATATAAATATTACAGTGTTGTGTCTATATCTCCCACAAGGGTGTACGGGAACAGAAGATGGTTTATCAATTGCAATAAAGTCATTTGTTTCTTTAACTATAGTAAGTTTATCACAATAAACAGGTGGTTCATGTCTATGAACTTGATGTTCTATTTCATCGTGATGATGAATAATTGTAGAAGGATCAATTAATTTATTATTAATTTTAATTAACCCCTTTTCAATTTTTTTTATTGTTGTTTCTTCATTACAAAGTTTAAATTCATTAACAAAAACATCAACAATAGTTCTTCCAATCCACCTTCCTTTTGCATTTACTTTAAATATGTAAAAATAAGGCAAAACTCTTCTTAGCCCATTTTCAAAATAATAATTTGTTTCATTAATTTCTTCTTGAGAAATTCCTTTAATTAGTTGTTCTTGTTCTTTTTTTTTTCTTTTTTCCTCTATTTGTTGTTTTTTTTTCATTAAAGCATTTTTATAATGAATATTATTTTCATCTTTTGGTTTTTTAACTCCTTTGTTGTTTTCTTTATTCATTCTTGTTCTTTCTATTTTTTTAAGTTACTTAATTAAAAAATTTCATTACATAGTCTCTCTTTCTTCATATATTCAAATACATTTTTATAAGCATTAAATTTCTTATTATAATTAATTTTATCTTTTTTTATCTTTAATTCTGATTTTATTAAATAAATTATTGTTATTTAAAATCAATTAAAATCCAAACATCTTTTGAGCTAATCTCTTTTCTTTCTCTTTATCTGCTTGAATCTTTGCTTCAGTATTCTTTATCCAACTAACAGTAGCTGCACTATGTTCAATTTCTTCACTTTGTTTAAAAGCAACTAATGCTTCCTCATATTTCTTTAATCCATTTAATGCCATTCCTTTTCTAAAGAGTCCTTTAACATTTTTTCCATCAATTTTTAATGCAGATTCAGCATTATCTAATGCTTTATTTAATTTGTCTACTTTTAAATAACAGAGTGCAAGATTTAGATAAAGTGATAACTTCATTTGATTGCATTTATCTATCTCTTCTGGACCCATATCAAACATTGCTTCAACATGTCCAAGAGCACTTGAATACATTCTAATAGCACCAATCCAATCTGTGTCTTTAAATGCCTTAGTTCCTTTTTCTTTAGCCTTTTCTGCAGCTTCCATTTTTTCTTTATTTGTTTTTGGTTCTGGTCTTTTACGAGCTGTTTCTCCTGTTCCTATATGTTCTGCTCTCATTTTTTCAGCTTTTTCTTTCTCATTTTTAGCTTCTTCAGCTTTTTTATCTAAATAACTTTTTAATGTAGGAGCAGCAGAATCAATTGCAATTAAATGAGCTTTATAAGCTTCTTCTAAAGATTCTAATCCAAGGTCTTGAGCATCATTAAGCCAATCTTCCATTTCATTACAAAGATTTCTTAGTGCGTTAGATTCATTTTCAGGAATATTTCCTTCTTTTGATTCTACGTATCTTCTATATTGATTAATTTTAGTTTCAATATCATTTAATATCCACATCTTCCTTTCTCTATTCTTAATAATTGTTGTTGCTTTCAACATTTCTTCATCAATTTTTTTAATCATTTCTTTTTGTTTTTCCTCTACTTCATTATTTTTCTTCTCTTCTGTTAATTTTTCTTTATTGTGTTGACTACGTTCGGCATAAACAGCTCCTCCAAGTGCAATTGAACATGCTGAATCAATTGAATTTAAAAATCTTACTTCTTCTCCAACAACCCCTTTAATAATTTGAACAACATTAGGTGCTCTTCCTGTTCCACCAATAACTTCAACTTGTTCAATTTTTGTTTTACCATCATTAACAACTTTTTTTACAACTTCTTCTATTTTATATAATTCATCATGGATTAATTGTTGCATTAATTCTCTACTTAATTTAATCATAACAGAATTGTCATTAATTCCATCAATCTCAATATTAGTTTCTGGAATTGTTGAAAGTAAAATTCTTGCTTTTTCAACAGCTCTTTGTGTTCTAATAAATGCTCTAATATAATTTGGTTGTGTTATATCAATTTTTTGTTTTTCTAATAAATAACGTTCTGCATATTCAATCAACTTTTTATCAAAATCATTTCCTCCAACAACAGTTGACTCTTTGCTAATACATTCAATAGTTTCTCCAACTGAAAACACTGCTGCTGTAGTATGGTGTGCCCCAATATCTACAATTAATACATTTTTCTTTTCAACAGAATGCATTGTTTTAAGGCAAAGTGCAGCTGCTTCAATATCAGATAGTGTTAAAACTTCTTTAAAGTTAAAATGACCTTTAATTATATTTTTATACAATTCCTTCTTTTGTTCTTCCATTTCACTTGGTATAGTAAGTGTTACTATTGTTTCTTCTGGTTTTAATTCTGTAAGCTTATCTTTTAAATACGTTTCTACATCTTTTAATAAATTATCAATTAATAGTGTATGATAAAAATATGGTAATTCTTGATTAAATGTAGGTTGTGTAGTCACATTATTTATTGTATGTTGTGGATATCTCATTTGCTTATCAATTGCTTCATCTCCAATAAATACAGCTTCTGATGCTGGTTCATATACAACACAAGAAGGGGTCAATGGGTTAGAAATTTTATTTGATACAACAATTGGAAATGACCCTTCAACTGTATGAGCAATCAAACTATGTTTACTTCCAATATCTATTCCTAAGAAATTCATTACTTTCTTCTTTTTAAAAGTTCACTTTTAAACCCTAATAATTGTTTGTACGTCATCATTTTTGTTTATTTATAAACGTGCTTCCACATCACTATTTCTTCAATAATACATCCTTTACAACTATTATTTACTCTCCATCACTTATTGAATATTTCCTTTTATATTAATTGATTTTTTCTAATTCACCTTTTTGAAGTTCTTACTTAATTAGAAATTTTTTCATTTATCTAATAGTTCATTGTTTTTATTTAAATTCATCATTAAGTAATGCTTTTCTAACACTAACCAATCTCTATTCCTCTATTTTGGTCAAATAACCATTTCTTATAACTCAACCCCTATTCTAAGTTATAATTTACTTTTGATTCTTTTTTATTAATTACAATTATTTTACTATTGAGATAATTTATTTTATTATTGTTTATAAAAGTATGTTTAATGACTGAATAACTTTTTATTGAAGATTACTATTATTGTCGTTGAGTTTGTTATAGCCATTACAGTAAATAATTGAATAATTCGAGTAATGAACGGAAATTAATGTGTTAGTATAATTTCTGTTTTATGGACTTGTTTAACTACTTTGCACTAATAATACTATTGCTATTCTTTTCATATATAGTGCTATCAACCAATTATTAATTTTCAAAACTCATTTTTATTTCACTAAGTGAGTTTTTTGTATTTCATTTAATAAAAATATATTTCATAAATTCTTTGTTTACCTCATAATAATGTTTAAAACATAATACTTATTAAGACTATTATTAATATTTCAATAATAACTTTATAATTGAATATTTTAATTATATAATTTAAAATTCATTAAATAAAATTATCACATATTACTTTCTAATTCTTAGAAAAATAATTTTCTTTAAATCAAATAATAAGTTATATGTTCTTTTCATTAAACACACGTTTCTTTTTAAACACATTTAGAACTGTGTTGACATAATGCAAATTAATAAAATAAAATATTTATACGAAAATATACTAACATTATATTTTTAAATCTTACTAGATAAAAAAATAATATAAACTAACAACTAGAATAATGAATTGAGTAAGTACGGTAACACTGACTTCTTCTTCAAAACAAAAGTGGTTGACATGAAGTAATGATTTTTAAATATCATAGTTCATAACAAATCTTTTAATTTAGAGAAATAAATCAAAAATGAAGATAAAATTAATAAACATCATTAGATAAAATAAATTTTTTCAATCAAAATATGAAATTATTTTGGTCCATTGTTGAAAGCATTTCTTCATCAAAATACTTTGACGTATCAACGTCATCAATTAATCCTTTTCTTCTTCTTGTTTTCATCATAAATTCTCTTGACAAATAAGGTTGAGGATTTGGTTGTAAATTTAATGGTTTAATTTCTTTATCTAAAGGATCACCTGGAACAATTCCCCAGTGATCAAACCAACTTTGAACAAATGCTTGGCCTCTACTGAATGTTCTAATGTCTGTTTCAAATCCAAATATTTCTATTAATGGGATATTTCCATGAATTTGTTGGAATGGAGTACCTTCAAGAGGTTGTTGTTGAATAATAAAACCACGTCTATCACTAATACTTTTAGTTATACCTTTAATTGCATTTTCTGGAGTAATAATTTCAACTGAATAAATTGGTTCTAAAAGTTGTGGTGATGATAGAATAATTCCTGCATAAATTGATCTTCTTAATGCTTGAATAACTTGTTGTTCATCAACATTTCTTTCAAATTCAAGATCAATAATTCTTACTCTACAATTTCTCATTTCTTCTTCACATAATGGTCCTGAACTCATTGCCCATTTAAATCCAATACAACATGCTTCTTTCATTTTATTTATTTTTTCTCTTTTTTCTTCTTCTAAAATGTCATTTAATAATACATTTGGACTTTTTTCTTCTGGTCCAATACAAAGAAGAGATTTTGATGCAAAAATATCCCAATGATATTTCTGATATAATATTTCATTTCTTCCTTTCTCTTCTTTTAATTCTCCTTTTTCTATTCCTTTAATTGTATTTTCATCTAATGGATCGAATAATAACAGCGAATTCTATTTCTATGATTTGTTGAAAGTGCAACACTTTTCATTTGAGACAAACATGATAC